TTAGGGTTTAGGGTTTAGGGTTTAGGATCTAAGGTTTAGGGTTCATAGGGTTCAGGGTTTAGGGTTTTGGGTTTAGGGTTTAGGGTTTAGGGTTTAGGGGCGCGGTTTTCCCCCAATTTACTGCCAGCATCATCCGAGCTGAGCCCCAGCTGCCTGAATTTCAAGTTCGACAAGCCACTGAGCCCTTTCGGTCGGCTTCGGGTTTAGGGTTTTCAGGCTTTGGGCTTGAGGCTTTGGGCTTAGGGTTTGAGGCTTTGGGCTTAGGGCTTGGGGCTTCGGGCTTCGGGCTTGGGGAATGAGGGTTTAGGGTTTAGGGTTTAGGCGTTCCCCCAAAAGAACCCCCAACCGCCAACAGCCCCCACGTGTGTCAGGCCTCAGGGTCTCTTGCAAAGGTTGGGGCCGAGCGCCTGGGTCCTGGCAAGGTTTGCCGGGTTCTCTGAGCCCTTAACCCCTAAACCCCGCCCAAACCCGTAAGTCCCTACACCCTGACACCCCTAAACAAACCCCTAGACCCCTGAACCCCGAGGGCCAACACTTCTAAGCCTAGGAGGGTTGAGGGTTCAGGGTGTCAGGCCCCTGCCTTGAGTTTTGGGTTTAGGCCTTTTTCAGCGTAGGGCTTTGGACTTTGCGTGGCAGTGTTGGGGTTCAGGGCTTCGGGCTGTACAGGGGGGTTTGGGGTTTTGGGTTTTGACAAGAGTGTTTAGGGTTTGGGGTTGAGGGTTTAGGGTTTAGGGTTTAGGGTTAGGGTTTAGGGTTCAGGGTTCAGGGTTTAGGGTTTAGGGTTTAAGGTTTAGGGGACTTTAGCCGCAAGGACTCATAAGTCTCAACACCTGTTCCATTTCATCCCGGCAACCCGACTCCCAGACTAGCTCAAAGCTACCTGGCCCCCTTCCCCTCGACCCTAAATCAAGCCCTCCTCAGCCGGCTAAACCCTAAACCCCAAACCCCAAACCCTAAACCCTAAACCCTAAACCCTAAACCCTAAACCCTATAAACCTCAAACCCTCCTCCGATGTTAACATCTTGCCGTGACTCGCAAGCAAACCTTAGGCGGTGGATCCCGGGGTGCCAGGGCACATGCGGGTCCCTTCTTGCAACAAGCCGGGATGTGCTTCTTCCGACTGAGCCTTACCTGTCTATATAACTTAGTTGCTGGGTTCATAAGCCCCCAAAGAGTGCTCACTTTCAGTTCTATAGGGGGATTATAGTATCCCAACAAGTGTAAAGTGTGCTCACTCAGCTACGAAGAGAATATCTCCAGAAGCCCTTGAACCAGGCATGCCCCCAGCTCCTTCCACGCAGGCCAAACGCTCCACTCTGGGTCAGGCTCGCTCGCCAGCATGTGCTGGATGTCCTAAGGGCTTCGCCGGCTTCTGGTGCTGTTGGGGGGGTCTTAGGGCTCAGGGTGAGCGCTTAGGGCTTCGGGCTTAAGACCCTAAACCCTAAGCCCTAACCCTAAACCCTAAACCCAAACCCTAGACCTAAGTTCAGGGATCTGAGCTCGCAATGCAAGACCCGGGGGTCGCAAGGCGGGCCTCAACCCACCGAGTTTGGACAACTGAGGCATCGTCCTGCACCCAGATGCCGTCCAAATACACGGAGTCGGAATCTCGCGGCCTTCAGCGTTTTGGACTTGGGGTTTAGGGCTTGAGGGGTTGAGGGTTTTAGGGTTTAGGGGTTAGGGTCTCGAGTTTGGGGTTTAAGGTTCTAAGGGCTGCAAGAAGAAGGCACATCGAAGAAGTCAACTCCTGGGCAGACTCTTCTCACGGCAGTTCTTTAAACGATGACACTGCTCCTCCGATTTAGGGCTTGAGTCTGGGGGTTTAGGGTTTGGGGGTTTAGGGTTTGGGGGTTTAGGGTTAATGTTGACTTCACATTAGGAATTCCCGCTACAATTATAAAATCCAGCTGCCGGAACACAATAATATAGCCCCCCACAATTATAAAATCAAGCCCGGAATATTTTTTTGTACGGGCGATGTTTTGTAATTAGCTTAAACTAATAGTACTTCCTACCAGGATTTAGGCGAATATAATTGAGGAGGCCCTGGCCGGAGAGATTGATCAATTAGGGGGGGAGGTTTATTAATGCGAAGTCAACATTGGGGGGGGGGGGGGTTGGGATTTAGGGTTTGAAGGTTTAGGGTTTAGGGTTTTAGGGTTTAGGGTTTGGCGGTCAGGGTTTAGGAGTTGAGGAGTTAAGGGGTTTAGGGGTTTAGGGAATGGTAATGGTCATGCGTAAGCTCGAAACTCCCAAACCTCGCAAGGATCCGAAGCACAGTAACTGCCCCTTGAACCCTGAATCCTAAAAACCGTACATCATAAACCCTAAACCCCAAACCCAAAAACCCTAAACCCTAAACCCTGAACCCTGAACCCTAAACCTAAACCCTAAACCCTAGCCCTAAACCCTAATCCCTAACCCCTAACCCCTAAACCCTAAACCCTAAACCCTAATTCCTAAACCCTAAACCCTAAACCCTCCTCCTTCCTGCTCCCCTGGCCCTCACAGCCATTTGCTGGGGCTCCGCGCTCCAGCACGTCCTGCGCCTCAAGGAGAGCCTCCTCGGCGGCCAAATACCTGGGTTGAGGGCTTTTTTGGGGGCTTTAGGGGTTCAGGTCTTGGGACCCTAACCCTAAACCCTAAACCCTAAACCCTAAACCCTAAACCCTGAACCCTAAACCCTAAACCCTGAACCCTGAACCCTGAACCCTAAACCCTGTTCAGGGTTGCCTCTCACACTCAAGATCCGTGCTCTAAAAAGTTCTGAGCTTTCTGGTCTGAGCCACGACGGCAAATCCCTAAACCCTAAACCCTAAACCCTAAACCCTAAACCCTAAACCCTAAACCCTAAACCCTAAACCCTAAACCCTAAACCCTAAACCCTAAACCCTACACCACCCCCAGCCGAAGCCTGCCACAAAGCCCACAGAACTCCTGAAAAAGCAGCAGGCTTTAAACTCTATAAAGCCTACAAAGCCTACATAGCTTAGAAAGCCTGTAAATCTAAAAAAACCATAAACCCTAGAAACCCTATAAAGCCTTTAAAGCCAAAAAAACCCTTATGAACCTTAAACCCCATGACCCCAGGGTTTGGGGTTTCGGTACCTTCATTAAGTTTAGAATAGAGGTTACCTGACTGATAACCCTACTCGTACAACTACCCCTGAACCTTCGAGCATGCGACCAAAAATAAGAAGCTGAACTACCATGATCTACTTCACGAGCTGAACTACCACTCGCCCTAAACCCTAAACCCTAAACCCTAAACCCTAAACCCTAAACCCTAAAGCCTAAAGCCTAAGCCCTCTTACCATAACCACTAAGTTCACTTCATGGTAGGAAATCTTGCTTACCTCCCCATCCTAGAGTCGCCCAGGCGCTTCGAGGAGTTCGGCTCACCACGATTCGTGGCCTTTGGAACCGCGGGGAAGGAGGCATGCCTGAAGCCGAAGCTGTGAGTAAAACCCTAAACCCTAAACCCTAAACCCTAAACCCTAAACCCTAAACCCTAAACCCTAAACCCTAAACCCTAACCCTAAACCCTAAACCCTAAACCCTAAACCCTAAACCCCACTCAGGGTCCATGCCAGGCTCTTCATATGCCCCCCAATGCGAAGGGTTTCGGGGCGTTTTTAGGGTTTAGGGTGGAGAATGAGAAAGCTTAGGGTTTGGCACCTTTTATTGGGGTGTTGAGGGCTTTGGCATATTTTCGAGGAACCAAGATGATTAGAGATAGGAGTTTCTTTGGTATCTTGCTGGCTTGCACATCTCATTGCTGCACGATCTGCTTGGGGAACCTGTGAGTTTGGGGTTTAGAGCATTTCATATGTTGTACTAAATATTATCAAGTATAGGCATGATACAGGATGTATGAGATATACATTACATACATGCAATATACCCTAAACCCTGAACCCTAAACCCTAAACCCTAAACCCTAAACCCTAAACAATCCTCCGAGGCCCGAGCAGCAGCGTGCGCTGACCCAGTCGCGCCGACGCATGCTCGGGGCTTTCTGGCGCAGGGTCGGGGGCATGTTTTGGGGTTCAGGGTCTTGGGGTTCAGGGTTTCGGGGTTCAGGGTTTTGGGGTTCAGGGTTTTGGGGTTTAAGGTTTAGGGTTTAGGGTTCAGGGTTTTGGGGTTCAGGGTTTAGGGTTCAGAGTTTAGGGGTTAGGGTTTACCCCCTAACGTCATGTACCCGCTCACTCACCCACCCACGCCTCCACGAAACGAGAGGGGGGGGGGACTGCTTTGAGAATATGACTCTACTGCAACCGCAGCGGAAAGTTGAAAACAGAGGCTAGCCGTGTCGCCACCCCCCCAGGCAGGGTTCAACATAATCGGGAAGCAACGTCCCAAATCAGACGGCCAGCATCTGAAGGATAGTAAACTAGGTTTCCCGGTAACCTATGAACAAAGATACCCGTTTTCTGGTGTGTATAGCAGGTCTTTTTTCAGAGAACCTACCCCCTTTAAAAAAAACTGGCAACAGGGCGCACGGCCCTGAACCCTGAACCCTGAACCCTCAACCCTCAACCCTAAACCCCAAACCCTCATTTGACTTATTCAGACCCCACCTTCCGTCTCGCCCTGCCAGGCGCGGTGGGGCGCAAAGGCGGGGTCGCTCATCGCCAAGCTCACGGTGCCAGTACCCTCTAAGAGATAGGCGCTGAGCTTACATGGGCGCGCTTTTTGGTACCCTAAGCTAGAAGGGCTTAGGGGTTAAGGGGGGTAGGGGTGAGGGTTTTTAGGGTAACACAAGAGAGCGTTCGTGATTTCGACCCCGGTGTCCTTAGCTAAACCTCCATTCTCTCCACAACCAGAGTAAAAACCTACCACGGTATTCGAGTGAGTCTTAGGGAAGCAGCTCTTCTGCATTCCCCTTCAAAGAAGACGGCAGCGGCTAGAAGCTTCGTCCACAAAGGCATGCAAATGAAGTCCCTCCCCTCTCCCTTGACGCACGAAAGCACCCTTTTTGACGCAGCCGTCTGAGTGTCTAGGCAGTGAGGAGCGGCGAGCGTGCAGTGTGGACGCCATGCCGGAAAGCAGGGGTCATCGCGACGAAGAAGAGGAGCACAGCTAGTGCCACCTCCAAGATGCCCGTGGAAGAATACGCTGTCCGGGGCCCCACGAGCTCGGAGAGGAAGCCGCCAAGCGTCGGGCCCAGAAAGGCACCTGGCTTCGACTGTGGAACGAAGACCAGGTCCACTACAGGAGCCCAGAAAGCTACCCATACCATCATTACATAACTCAACCGTGCTCCAAAAAGATCCTCCCGCACCCAAGAGACACCTCGAAACCTTGTAGCAGATCCTTTACAAAGCCGTCCCTCATATCCTAAGCCCGATGAGGCCCCTAAGCCCTGAACCCTCTAAGCCCCTGAGCCCTAAGACCTAAGACCCTAAAACCCTACTAAACCCAAACCCTAAGCCCTGAACCCCGAAGGCTCCACCCTAAACCACCCCGCCAAGCACCCTAAACCCTAAACTCTACACCCTAAACCCGATCCCTCGACCCTAGGTGCCTGTGGCCATCGCGATGGTGAACCTTGGGGGTCGGTTTTGGGTTTAAAGTTTAGGGTTTGTGTAGCCAAGTTGTAGAAGATTAGGGGTTTGGGAGGGGGGGGGGGGGGGGTTGTGGGGATTCAGATTTGGGGCTAGTCTTGGGTATCCTAAGCCCTGAGCCCTAAACCCTAAACCCTAAATCGATTTTTAGGGCTCCATATTATGGGGTCCCCGGTGCATGGTCATTCCAGGCGTGCAGGCTGATGTCTACTGGCGTTACCCCCAACCACGGCTTGGGTTTGTAAGAGCTTTGTGTTTCGGTTTTAAGGTAATCCTAGGGTTCGAGTGCTAGAACCAACCCTAACCCTAAACCCTAAACCCGAAACCCTAAGCCCTAAACCATCTTCATCCCGGATGCAAGGAGGATGCCGCGAGCTCTCGTTCTTGGGGCACCTTCAGGGTGGACCGCGCGCTGCAAAATGGGTTCGGGGTTGAGGGTTTGAGGGTTTAAGGGTTGGAGGTCTTAGGGTGGGTTTAAGGGTTTAAGGGTTTAAGGATTTAAGGGTCGTTGGAGGTTTTAGGGTTTTCGGGTTGAGGGGTTTAACCACACTGCCTGTTGTAGCCGAGACTGCACACACACACACACACACACAGACATGGTTTGGGGCTTCGGGTTTAGGGTTTCCGGGTCAACGGACCTGCAAGTCACAAGTTACAAGTCACACGTAGTCCCTTCGACGAGCTGCCCTTCACACCCCAAATCCTAATTTAACTCCTACATGCTGAGCTCGCGCTCTTATCACGGGCCGTTTTCCCCGGGTTGCGGTGATAGGTCTTTGGTGGACCGATTCAGGGTGCAGGGCTTACGGTCCCTACGTACCAGGATGGCCTATCATTATCCCCGATGACCCCTTTAAAACGGCCCTTTTAGGGTGGTGATGGGCATGATAAGGCCTCATGGCCAATCCTGGTAAGCCCCAAACCGTAATTTTGGCGATCCTTGTTGCCTCGTGGCATGCGCACGAGATCAGCTGCTTGTAAACTGGGATGAGGCCTGCTCGGGGGCGCCATCACATTTTGTTCCTTTCTTTCCTTTCTTATTCTTTCTTAGTCACCCTTTAAGGGAACAGCATAGGCACCCCGGTTCCCTAATTTCTCACGAAGAACCAGCAAGATAAGAACCTCTTACCTGCACCCTGCAAGTAAGCCCATGGAGCCCCAAAGGCGTAAACTGGCCTGGTTTGGGGTGGCTTCGGGTTTCGGGCACTCCCGGCTCCCCCCATCCGAAACCCTAATGCCAAGCCGTTCACCCTAACCCTAAGCTCCCCCCACCTCCCCCCGGGCATCGAAGATACCTACTTCCCGAATCCCCTATTAAGAGCTGGTCAGGTTTTTTCCGAGGTCTTTCTCAAGTCAAGTCACCGAAGGCCACACCAACACCCAGAACGACAGTCGCGGACCTTCCAGCAGTCGATCCCACTTCGCATGTGCAACTTGCTTAGTTCCTCGTAGGGAACTAGGGGATGAGGCACCTTTGAGGGATTCTACAGAGTACCAAAGGGATTGCAACACAAAGTCCCGACTTCCCCACTGCGAACCAGTAAGGCAAGTGTGCAAGTGGGGTCTAGGGTTCGGGCTTCGGGCTTAGGGTTAGGGGCTTCCGCTCGGTTTGCGTTGTTGATCCTCTTAAAAGCATCGCCTGAGCAGCTCCAGGTAGCGTGGAGCCAGAAACTGTGGTCACCCTCTAGAACTCCCGAACCCGAAATCCGAGAATCCTTGAGCCCTTGCACCCTAACAGCCCTAAACCCTAAACCCCAAACCCTAAACCCCAAACCCTAAACCCTAAACCCCTGCTGCCGGACTGCCAGGCCAGGGCTGGTGTCAACATCAGCTCCTTCAGTGGCTTCGGGTTGCTTGTAAGGCACAGGGTTTAGGGTTTAGGATTTCGGGTTTAGGGTTTAGGGTTTAAGGTTCAGGGTTCAGGGTTCAGGGGCTGAATTCTGAATGGCTTCGGCATCGGCAGTTCAGGATGCATGAACTACACAAAGGAAAACATCGATCCTGTCGAATTCGGCCCCAAGAGCAGGCGGTCGGTGCAGGGTTTCCTGTCATTACTTCTCAACAACCAGGACATGACAAGTAAGCCTTGTTAGTCCCCTAAACCCTAAACCCTAAGCCTTAAACCCTAAACCCTAAACCGGGGCGAGCCGAGGCTAGGACCGAGGCACCCCGCACCTTCTCGTCTGTCTTGGCTAGATCTTTAGCTCTGGACCACCGTTTCTGTTTCAAAAACGGGTTTAGGGTTTAGGGTTTAGGGTTTAGGGTTTAGGGTTTAGGGTTTAGGGTTTAGGGTTTAGGGTTTAGGGTTTAGGGTTTAGGGTTTAGGGTTTAGGGTTTAGGGTTTAGGGTTTAGGGTTTAGGGTTTAGGTGTGCATTCCTTTCAATGTTGCCACCCCCCCCCCCCCCCCCCCCTGCTCCCCGCCGGATATCCTGACGACACTATCAAGCTTCGCCCCCCCCCCCCCCCCCCACCCACCCCCCAGACCCCTCGAATCGTGTGACTGAAGATTTGACCCCACTAAAAACTGCTGACACTCAAAATAATTGCGATACCGATCGGGGGGTTGCGACCATAAGCCTACTTGACTAAAAACTCTAGCCGAGCTCTGCTAGCTTTCGTGATAAGAAGGACGCTTAGAGTCCAACGGTTGAGCGATTCCTGGTTCTGGTAAGTGCCGCCCCTGCGACCCTGAACCCTAAACCCTCCTAAACTACGCCAAAGGAGGAGGTACCACAGATTAGAATGAGTGTGGGATATTTTGGGTAAGCCCTCAACCCTAAACCCTCAATCTCAAACCCTAGTTAACCCCTCAATCCCGAAACCCTAAACCCTAAACCCTAAACCCTAAACCCTAAACCCTAAACCCCAAGACCTTGAAGCTCCTAAACAATCACCCCCCCCCCCCCCCCCACACAAGATCCTGGCCCCCGATGCGCAGGGGCAGCGGCGCGAGCATGAGGTAGGAGATGCCGCTGAGCAGCGCCTGGGACTAAGGGTTATAAGGAGGGGCCCCTGGAAGGGACCCTTGATCTTACTCCCCTATATGACCCCTATATATATAACATATATATATGTACAGATGTATATACCTTATATACCTTATATAGTCCCTATATACCTAAGCAGCCCCTAAATCCCTTGATGGGAAGCTTTTTGCTCGTGAGGCTTGGGGCTTTCAGGGGTGCTTAGGGTTTAGGGTTTAGTTGGTTTCAGGTGTCTCGTGGGTTTCGGGTTTTGGGCATGTAGGGTTGAGGGCTGTGCCTAAACCCTAAGGCCTGAAACTTGGGTGGGTGACAATGTTGAGGAATTCCGTCCGCGGCCAGGTGCCAAAGCGAGAGCACGGTGTGTGTGTGTGTGTGTGTGTGTGTGTGTCCTAAACGAGCGCGCTGTGCGGCGATGCCGATCTAACCATTGTACATTGGAAACAAAAGCCCTCAAACCTCAAGCCCTAAAGTTGACACACTGCGTGGGGAACTAAGCCTCCCCTAAGCCCTAAACCCTAAACCCTAAACCCTAAACCCCAAACCCCAAACCCCAAACCCCCCAACCGCTCCGAGGACACTGAGCCCGATGCCCTTTTGTGCAGGGTTCAAGAAACCCTGTAGGCCCCAAGAAACCCTATAAATTCCAATAACCCTGTAAACCCTATGCCCCCCAAATCCAAGAAACCCTACAAACCCTAGAACCCATAAAGACATAAACCCCGCAACCCCTAGACTCGAAACCCTAAACTCTAAGACCTAAACCCTATGGACCCTAAACCCTGAAAGCTGTCCGCCAGGGGACCCCCCCGGCCATGAATTGCGGCCCCAGGCGTCCCCGGGACCAGTCATCCTTAGAGGCATGTGACTCAGGCGGGGAGACTTGCTCGCAGGTTGAGGCTCAGGCTTTTCTCGTGTGTGTTTAGGCTGGCTTTTGGCGTGTTTAGTAAATTAGGCTTCAGGGCTGAGGCGGTGTTGAGTGTTTTGTTTGGGCGTTGGAATTGTTTCGGCAATTTGGGGTTTCGGGCTTTGTGCTGAGGCGGTTTTGGGGGTTGTTCTGAGGTTTCGGCGGTTTGGGGTTTGTTAACTCAGGATTTGGGGAAGCCACTGGTCCTCAAAGTATTGAAGCCCTAAACCCTTGTAACTCTACAGTCAAGCTTGAATGCACATTCAGCACGGTACATGATGATGTACATATACAGAGAGAGAAAGAGAGAGGATAGAGCAGATATGAGAAAACAAAAGGGGTTCAACCCCCCAAAACCCGCACTCTGCCAGCCAGCGCTCCAGCGCCCCCACCCCAACGGCGACCAGAGCGTAGGAGGCGCAGGCGGCAGAGAGGACGAAGCCCACCCTTTGCAAAGCGCGGATGCACGTTCAGGGGGTCTTGTTGTTGGGGGACTCAACTCCGAAACCCCTAAAGCCCCTTAACCTCTGTGAGTCTTTTTGAGGGGGTCCAGGGTCAATGCTTGGTTGCTGTTTAGGGTTGGGGTTTTAGGGTTCGGGTGCAGGGTTAAGGAATTACGTTTGAAGGTTTCGGCTTTAGGCTCATGAAAGATTGCTGTCTCGGAGTCGTCAGTGACCTTTCACAGGTAGTGTAAGTATGCCTGTAAGTGTTCAGGGTTGAGGGTTCCCATGCGCGTTCTTAGGGGGAGTACACCCCTAAGCCCTGAGCCCTGAAAATCTCAGCCTTAAATCCCACAACCCCAAACCCTGAACCTCAACTCTTCTTAGAAGCCCCTCCTACCAACATTCAACGCTACCACAGAAGGGTTGCAGGCAAGCTATACTGTCAGAAGCAGTATATACCCAACGGCCTTGAAGCCTTAGACCCTGAGCCCAGACCCTACACCCCTAAGCACTCCACACCCCCTAGAAAAATAAATAAATTTATATGTATATATATATATATATACATATACATGTATATTTATATATACATACATGTATGTATATATATATATATGGTACCCCCCCCCCCCACCCTTTTTGGCCTTGTCCCAAGTCACCCAGCTGCACTACAAGCAAACACCGTGTGCAATATAGCGTATTTCCTAGGGCGTAGACTAACATACAATTACACACGGGACAGTAGAAAAAACAAAAAAACAAAACCAAAAAAACCAAAACCAAAAAAAAAAAAAAAAACAATTTTCCGGAACTCTCAGGAATCCCTATGAGGCTTCTCCAAGAGTTCCGGAAAATTGTTTTTTTTTGTTTTTTTGTTTTTGTTGGTTTTGGTTTTTTTGGTTTTTTTGGTTTTGGCATTTTTGGTTTTTGGTGTATTTTGGCTTTTTGGTTCGCCTTCACGAGGCAACAACTACGCATTTTTCAGTGTGCTTGCGCTAATTGTGCTTTTCAGAAATAGTATACAAGCGGTCCTTTTGGTGCATCAGAATTATTTGTTTCGTTATTTATGTAAGTAGAACCGCTTCGCTTCTTTTTCAACTAGTGGTTAGTGCATCTTTTGGCTGTACTCAAGTGTAGCAGACCTTATTCAGCTATTACTTGGTGCTCTGGTAGCTAAATTCGCATGGATAATGCTTGCCTTGTAAAAGCAATAATTATCCAGAAGAACCATTTGCAATACTTGTCTTGAGAAAAAAGCATTTATTGCTTAGAATTGTTTGCTTAAAAAGTGACTCCTACTCGTCCAGGGATACCCCAAAACCCTACAATCCAAACTTCACCAGAGATTCTCCTGAAAAGCATGCGCTTTTGGATGTTTTTTGTATTTGTGAATTTGCTTGTGTATGGCCTTCACTAAGTACTTATCTAAGATTCTTGTGCCTTTTTTAGCCTGCTTGTGCAAGTTGTGCTTGTCAGACATAGTATATAAGTGGTCTTTATTGAATACTTCAGAAATAGTTGCTTCACCGTTACGCAAGTAGAGCCGCTTCTATTTCAATTATTGTGCATTTTTAAGCCCGCTTATGCAAATTGTGCTTTTCAAACATAGTATATAAGTGGTCTTTATTGAATACTTCAGAAATCCTTGCTTTATTGTTATGTAAGTAGAACCGCTTCCATTTCCGTTAGTGTCTATTTCGCATGTTGGTTGAGTATGGCCCTTTAACGACTATTAGTTTGAGTCAAATTGGCTATTTGCTTGTTTTTTTCTCTTGTAGTTTCTTTCGCATGGAATGATTATTGCAGAAGTACTAATGTTTCATAAATATGTAAACATAAGGTATTTCAGTGGACTTTTCAGATAGTATTTCAATAATACTTTGCCTAGTACGAACACAACTGTATAAATACATTAGTTGCTCAACAAAACATTATTTGCCCTTTTGCCATATTTTGGTTGAATATGGTGCTTATTTCGTATGTTGGTTGAGTATGGCCCTTTAAATAGTATTCACTTGAGTCAAAATTGGGCTATGTGCTTAATAATTACTCTAGTAGTTAGACTCGCATAAAATGATTATTTCAAAAACAAAAATGTTTCATGAATATGTAAACATAAGGTATTTCAGTGGACTTTTCAGATAGTATTTCAATAATGTACAAACACGATTGTATAAATGCAGTAGTTGCTCAACAAGGCACTATTTGCCCTTTAAACGCACACTTTGCCATATTTTGGTTGATAATGGTGTCCATTTCGTATTTTGGTTGAGTATGCTCCTTTAAGGAGTATTCACTTGAGTCAAATTGGGCTCTTTGCTTAATAATTACTCTAGCAGTTAAATTCTCATAGAATCAAGAAAACGTTTTACTTTGAGATGCTGAACCCTGAACCCTAAACCCTCAACGCTAAACGCTAAGGGCGCGCACCTTGACTGGACCCCCCCCCCACAAAGCCCCAAGAGCACTCATGCCCTAATCCCTGGAACCCCAATACTCGTTACCCTAAACCCCTAAGACCTGAGCCCTACACCCTAAACCCCTAACCCTAAACTACCGGCCCAAAGGCTCGGGCCAAGGAAGGTTCCGGGGGCCTTGAAGAGGTTCCTTGGAGGTTAAGGGTTTAGGGTTTAGGGTTTAGGGCGTAAGTTTTCGGGTTTAAGGTTTAGCGTTTAGGAATGTAAGGTTGAGGGTTTATAGGGTTTAAGGGGTTTAGGAAGTAGGAATAGGGTTTAGGGTGTAGGGTTTTCCGGCCCAGGGTTTAGGAATGCAGGGTTGAGGGTTTAGGAAGTAGGGCTGTAGCGAAGGACAACGCGTATACCCGTTCTGTCTACAAAAGAGTCGATGAACAGAGACTCTTCGACATCGGTTGGGGAGGAAACAGGGGCTTTTATCCAGACCAGGCGTTAACGGGGTCGCAAGGTGTGACGGGTGAACTATAATACGGGAGTACACGGGACGTCCTGCAGGTGAGCTAACAACAATCTGATTGGGGCTTAGGCGGTTACCTATTCACTCTCTTTTAATCTCTGTGTCTAGGAGTTCATCTGTTGAGTCGTGAAGGTTACAACCTGGATGGGAGAATGAATTCGAAAAAACTTTAAAAACAATACCAAAAGGAAACGAGTGAAGGGACGCAAGCGTTTACAATCAAAATAAGCGATTTTTCCTCTTCATTCGCGAGTTCTCTTTTCACCTGCTATTTCACTGATTTGATTAGAAGCCTCGTATCATAAGAATTGTGTTAGGGGCACGTGACGAACTAATAGTAAAATCAGGTAAGGGCGCCTGTAATGAACCTTGCGGTTTTGCATATCGCTTGTTGGTGCACGTCGCCGAAGCCTCGGGGAAACGCACTCTTCGAAGCAAAACACATCAAGCAGAAGGGCAGAAACACCTGAAACATCCTATATTTTCAGAGGCCTACAGTGTTAAGACCTGGGCGGCGGCAGCGTTTTCACGCAGACTCCAAGCGACACTTTGTCAGGCCTTACACTTCCTGCAGAGGCCAAGGCATATATGCTTGTGACAACGCGTCTTGTTCCACATCCTTGCGCTGAATTTTGTACAAGGAGGCAAAAGCGCTGTAAATGCCAACGTGTCTTTGTTCCACATCCTTGCGCATTATGATGTGTAAAAAAACAAAACGTTGCAAATACCAGTGTTTTCGCCGTGGTCGCCAATTGCACGTGTCTTGATCCACACCCTTGCGCAGTATGTAGTACAAAGGAGCGAAAACACTGAAAATACCAGTGCTTTGGGCATGACCACAATACGAATGACGCTCTTATCCCCCCCCTCCCCGTGCCCCCACCCAAGAAACATATAACCTTCAGAATGGCTTAAATGCAAGGTGCGTTGTGGGCGCCGTCACCTAAAACCACACGCGTCCTCATATTTTTCTATTCGCGCGTACGTGTGGAGAGAAAGGGGAAGAAAGAAAGAGAGAGAGAGAGAGA